GCCAAATGTATGCAACATAGTACCTCATGAAATTTGTAACCTTTTCAATTATAAACGTTTATTTAAAATGAAATTAGAGGCTTCCTCTTCGGTGCAGATGCAAAGTACGGATGACTATGATGATAACCAACCTCCGCTAGAAGAAGGAACCGCAAAAAGAAGAAAGATATAGAACCGGATTAACTAAATAACTTCCAGCTTTAGAGCGTGTCCTTTTTGGAGTTCCCGTATGTTTTATTGGGTGTATACCAAAAGCACAGCAGTACTGGTACAAGAAAGATGGTGCTAAGGTTAAGTTAGATACCATGAAATGCTATAATTTAATTCTATAAAGAGTCGAAGAAAAAGCAGCAAGTATAACATCGTGAATTACTTAAGAATGTCGTGATGGAGAAATTTTTTATGTTTGGAAAATCTGAAACTGTATTTTTATGTCTGATTGGAAGTGGATATTATGAAGACGTTATGCATCGGACACCAGTAATAACTACCGGTCTAATTTTAAAGTGTTAATAAAAATCATTCAAATATGACATTATTGACGCACTTAAAAAATAAAATACACGGGACATTTTTGCAGTCGGATACTGCCAAAACGCCCCCTGTGTTTTGTCCAACATACTATAATGTTTTACTGTATTTTTATGATGTATATCTATGAGAAAATTAGGCTGTTGTTAATAATATAATTAATATTTTGATTAATATAAGGTTGATCAAAGTTCATATATAATTAATAGTCGGGAAATTAACCGATTACGCTTAGTGCCTCAACTATTCATCCCTCAATATTTTCCTCGCGTTTTCCACACTTTTATTTCCCAATTAGACGCACAGATATAACGTTTTCCGTGATATTTATTATATTATTATTATCATGGCCAAACAGAAATTTTGTAAAGCACATAAAAAAACTCAACACTTTCAGATTTTCCGACAAGAAAAAATTGTATATCACAAAAGTAATTCATGAAGTTAAAGCACGCTTTTTCTTTGGCTACCAAGTCGATGGACTGTCAACTATTAAGCAGAAAAACAAAAATAACTTTGTACAAAACCTGTATTTTGTTAGTTTTCTTATAGGGTCCAAAACGTGTAACATTTTAACGTATAAAACAACATTGTTCAATTTTGAACGAAGGAATTTGAGAGAAATATTTAATAGCATATGTGGAACTCTGTAAAAAGATGTACAACTAAGAAATATATACTCAGTGACATTAGAAGTGTTACACCCAGAAATAATTACTTCTTGAACTTAATTGTTAATAACAATTTCAATGTTTTATCTTTTATACTTTTTGTTTTGAAGTTTTTTATCTAAAAATTTTTTTGTGAAGAGACCGACTTATAACGATTGGCTAATACAGAAATTTTTAGTTATATTCGAAGACATCAAAATTACCACCATGTTAGAAATTTTGACAGGGATAGAATTGTTGCCTATAGAGATGTTGGTTTGTCGTATCGTGAAATTGGCCGTCGTGTTAATTGTACGGCAATGATGGTTAGGTGTATGTATGTGGACAAATGAAGGTAAAGGAACAAGAAGAAGACCAACTGGTCAACCGACGTATACTACAGAGCGTCAAGATAGGCGCTCTAGACTACTGGCTCAGCGAGACCGTTCTGCTACTACGCGTCAAATCGCTGATCATTGGTTTTGAGTAGAAGGTAGACCTGGTAATATGCGTACACTATACCGTCGCATTCGAGCCTTTGAACTGATTTCATTCCGCCCACGACTAGTGCTTTCTTTGACTGCGGACCACTGTACTCAACGTTTTAATTGGTGCAGAGAACGGCAGCATTAAGTGGCAGAATGGCATAATGTAGCATTCAACGATCAATCGAGATTTTGTTTAGAAATGTATGATGGTCGTCAGATGCTAAGTACTGCCTTCTAGACCATCTTACTATCTAGACGGCCGTCGACACAACCTTTTTCAGCAAGAGAACGCGTGACCAGATAAGCTGGCGTTAATGTTTTGCCGTGGCCACCCCGTTCACGGGATTTAAATCCTATCGAACATGTGTAGGATATGATGGGAAGGAGATTATCCACTTTGCACCATCATCCACGAAGTTGAAGAAGATCCTCGAAGAAATTCGTGTTGCTTTAAAGGAAGTGTCACATCGATCATCCCATTTTTCAATGCATAGACCTGTATGAGTGTATTCAGCTACGTGGTAGCCAAACACATTATTATTATTTTTTTTTTATTATATGTTAACGTTTTATTCGTGATGTAAATCTACCATGTTGCCAAAAAATTAAGTTCAAGGAATTATTCCTTCTGGACTTCTAATGTCACCGAGTATATTATAAATACATATCAGATGGAAAAGATTTAATATATCTCACAAAAACAAAAAGACTAACACTATAACACCCCTACCAGACGAATCCCAATCACAGCCTGAGAGAAGTAGATGTAGAGGTAGGCTGAAATATTGAAGGATGATCTGCAAGAGAATGCTAGGAAAATTGTTGAGAAAAATTGGTAACTTTTGGAAATCTACGTTAGGTTACGTTAGGTAAGGAAGTCGAAAAAATTTCGAAACGTCGAGGTTCAACTTTAGCACCAGAAGTGATGACAATGAAAATGTAAATACATATTTACAGCAAAATATCAATTTGATATGTTGTGTTGATATGATTTACTTATTATACTTCAAACTGGAAGTAAAAAGAAATTTTCTCTACAACTGATGGAAATATATACTGACACATTAGATATAATGCGAAACAAAATACAAACAGGTCTACAGAGGTTCTGTGGAGTTATGCAAAGATACAAATAAAAATTATTTTTAATAGATGAGTCGATAGATGGCGTTACATGAGAACAAATTGCTCTCGGTTATGACATCTATCACCCAACGCATGACGTCTGTCAAAATGTCACCCAAAAACAATAATTAGTTTGGTTTTAATAATGGTCGAAAGCAAGTTACTTTTGTTTTTAAAAATGTAGAATATCGTTAATAAGTATCTTCACCTGAAAGCAAAGCCTAACTGCATTTAGAAACATCATTTTTTTCGTCTTTGTGAGAGTGTTTGAGAATGAACGTCCTACAATGTGCCCCAGTACCGGTTACTACCACAAAAATCATCAAAAAATCACAAATTTCGTGAGATAGTTGAAGACTACATAACGTCCTACAGAACAGTTACATTTTTAGTTACAACAGGCTTTCAAGAATTGCATATAAATTTGAAATATACACAGATCAGTAAAAAGTTTATTATGATGTTAATTTTGTAAGAGATTTCCGATATTGTTTTACGATTACCAATCATCATCACATCAAAATTATAAGCTGAATAACTATAACACTATATTTTTTATCCATAAGGGTGTATTTTGCCAAAGAAGGTATGCTATTTGGGTACTATAAGAAGAAATCGGTTACTTAACGTCGATGGGCGCCTGAAGTTCATGATTATGCCACGTACTAAGCTCGGTTTAACGGGCGTTGTCACCTAACGTAATAGAAGCGCGAAATGGGAAAATAGAAGCGCGAAAGCCACAAAAGATGCCGATTTTCCCTAGGGCTGCAACATTTTTCCATGTCCAACTGCCCCCAACTCTGCTAAATATTCCTAAATCTTTTGTAGGACCAAGTCTAACAACGCTCGTGAAAATATTAATGGGAAAGAAAAAGTGAAAATATGCTTATTCGAATATTATAAAAGATTACAATAGACACATGTGCAAGGTCGATTTGATGGACAACTTGATAGAAAAATATAAAATATCAAAATGTAGGAAGTAGTAACTTTGACTGTAGATAATTGATCTGGCAATGGATAATGTTTTGTTATTACAGAAACAGACCATGTTACCATGGATAGTGGCTACAAAAAATTATATAATGCGTAAAATATTCGTTTTTAACAAGTTGCCTGCCGTATCGGTCTATGTGACCGAGAAAAAAATTGCTCTGCTCACCAGCGAGGTCTATTTGACCGAGAATTTTAATGTAACTGTGATGCCGTCACGGACTATGACGTGAACGGAAAGTATAAAAAATCCTCTACGGCAGGCAACTGGCAAGACAGAAGGAAAATATTGGCGAATATATCAAATAATCATTATTACAAGATTCATCCTACGTTACCATCCCTAACAGAATTACCACACATATTTCATTATCACATGTCCAAATAATCAGCAACTATCACAAGATTAAAAACTAGTCACGATGCTGTTCTGCTGACTTGGCTAGATTAAACATTATAGAACAGGAAAGTGCTCATGCGATATTTCCCAGTGCGATGTGAATCACATCCTGTTTTAATGTATTAAAAATAAAACAGTCTCATCTACATTTTATGAAAACCTAGTTAAAGATAATGTACAACTTCCAGTAAAAATACCCCACCTACTGTCACTGAATCAGAAATCTATATAAGAACTCATATGTAATCACTTATATGCATCCGGATATATAATATAAAGTTGTTACAATCAATTCATAAACATATCACAATCAATCAATAAATCTGTTTCAATTCATAAACATAACATAAATCATTCAAAAATCTGTGGCAAATGGACTAGTCTCCATGCCAAACACATTATAATCATCATTAAAATATTAGTTTTGTATGAATTAAAAACAGTAATATTCATTATTAATACTTTTTGCATGAGGTAGCCATTTGATCTATTTTTTTTTTGTAAAATAAAATGATTTTAAAAAAGCATTTAAATATTTTTCTGCGATTTAGTGTTATATATCTCTCTAATTAAAATAGTGTTGTTTTCTCATAGCTATGAATACATTTATCTAAAAATAGTACAATTTTAATCTTTAAAAATAGCCTTAGTGACTTTATATGTAACCAATCCGACAATTAGATAACGCTCTATGGCCTGAACAACATAAATTTAAACATTGATTGATGACGTGAAACGGACTTGGTAAAAAAATTATATATCAATTACTTTTTAGTGACAGTTCACACTATAGTACATCAAAACACCAAAGAAATGTTTAAATAACTTGACAATTGATCCTCAGTTTAACATTTATCAGTTTTTTTTCACCTGCCTACTCAATGTTATCAGTAAAAGTGGCTTCAATCAACCCCGCATTCAACAGCTGACTCTCGTTCTCAACAATATCGAATTCAGTGGTTATGTCATGGGGCAACGCTTCCACTGTATTGTCCCCGTTCACTTCGATGTCCTGAAGATAGCTCAAACCCTCCACCATGTCGTTTCTGATCGGCTGCCCATTCAAAAGACAATCTCCGTTTAGGTTGTATGTAAATGTTTCGTCATTGTTTAAAGGTGTCGAAGGGTACGATCTAGAGTTATTGTAATTTATTTTTGGAGGTTTATTGAATGGTAGAGGTGTGCTGGGAACAGACCGAGAAGGTAAAACTTGCGGTATACTGATTTCTTCATTGATGCTTTGCGAACGGACTAATCTCGGACTTGCGTACGTTTGTTGAGAAAACTCGCTACCATCTAAGCCGTTGTTAAATAACTTAAAACCAAACTCTCTTAAATTCATGTTGTTGGAAACAATATTCATACCTACAATGTCCATTGGCTCGTTGGGAGGATTTCCAGAATTTAAAATATTTTTAACTTCTTCGGGGTCTTGTTCCGGTATTGAAGCGATTTCGGACAAATTATTTGTTGATATAAACACACTATTAACTGGATTAATCATGTTGTGTAATGGTACAGACCTAGATCTGTACCCTTCTAAATTTGATTCTACATTTGATGTTAAAAACTGAGTAACTTCCGGTGAAGTTTTAGGAGGAATAGGAATTTTTCTAACTGCTGTGTAACTGGGATTATAAGACACTTTGCTAGTTGAATTTAATAGTTTTTGCAGGACAGACTTATTATTCATTATAGGACTTGGAGGCGCTGACATGGCGGTCGAATGCAAGCCAGGCTGATTTTCGGGAGGAATCTCTATAGTGAGATCAATTTCTCTTTTGACTTTTAAATATTTTCGAATTTCATTCTTTAGTATACATGCATTTTGATGAGCCGGCTTGCTTCTTAAAATAGGCGTACTTCTAGGACTGACGAAAGGACTTACTGATGTACTAGAACATTTAGAATGTATGCCACTTGGAGATTGTGGACCCGGTGATATAGGAGTAAAACTGAAATTTTTCCTTCTTGTATTTGGACTCGGAGGTACGGAGTTCTCCGAGGCGGACATTTCAAAACTGACCCTTCTCTTAACGTTAGCATTTGTAATAGAAAGTTCTTGAAAATTCATAGGATTAACATGTGTAAAATTAGTTTGTACTGGCATTTGATTCTGACAAGTATTTGGAAAGGAAACACTTTTTGGTTCCACTACCCTGTTTTCTAATATTGACGGTTTGGTGTCTACGATATTTTGAACAAGCAGCTGCCTAAGCGTTGATAATTTTGATGTATCTTCCGATTCTGTTGTTTCTGGAAAGTTATTGTTGCAGAAGTATTTTGACAGTTCTTCTTCATGCTGACTATTATTTGTACCTACGACACAAAAGGAAAGAATTTAGTAATGTATTTTTCAAATAATATTAATATTATATGGCTACTAATCAGGGTTAGCAGGTTAAACCAACATGCTTGAAACCTTGGTTTAAATCAACTGGTTTTTTAAGAAAAAACATAGTTTTTTTATTGATTTTTCTCTCTATATTGTTGATATTATTCTAATAATGAAAACTACAGCTCAATAAACTACAAATAAAAATTTGATATTTAAATTTTTAAATTAAGGGGGTATGTTCACGACGCAGTTAAAATGAGTGACATTCAAAAAAACTACCGTTTAACAATTTTTTGAATAGATGGCAGCACGTGCATTATATTTTAATATTTTGTTTTTGTCGAAATTTAATTCTCTGAACAGCGACATTGTTGCCAATGAGGCCAAGTACTGGAGCTTAAATTATAATATACGATCAGTAGAATCGATATAGCTCGGTCAGCAGTCTTCTTTAATGTAAGTTGAAATTAGCTATTATTTGGAGTTTCACAAATTCTAATTTTTGGATTGGATCATTCCATATATTTTTTTAATTTTTGTATCGTGTGTTGTTCATGTACCTTTGAAGTTAAATTGCTGTTTTGCTTTTTTTGTGTTGTTTTTTTAGTTTTGTAAACATTTTAAATAGTGCATATCAGTCAAGTACAAAAAAATTACTTATAATAAAAATATACACCTGTAAACTTTATAATTTATTAACCCAGCAGCGGACGCTAAGGACTGATCAGTTCTTTGTAATTTTACATTTTTCTTGGCAACAGGGCTATTAAATTTATATTTACTTTCAGCCGGTAAACGAAAACCTTCCGTTGCTAAATCAAATTTTTGTTCATTTTAAAGTTCACTCTGTAAAAAGGTCAATAGCCCACTCAATCTTGTTTCTAAAGTTGTAACTTCTGCAGTTTTTCAGATATTTTCCATGGACACGAAAACATAAGATGCCGTAGTCAAATCATATATTTGGCAGACATGACTCAATAAGAGGATACAATATCGCCGCTAACTTGTGAGCAGTTTTGTCTAAGGTCTAAAGTGAACGAAGTTGACTATCAATCATATCATAAAGGGCAGAAATATTACAAGGACTACTAGAAACTCGACTTAAAATTAACTTTAAGAGATCTCTAATGTAAACTTCAATCTGGAGATCCTCTCTGCCAAATCTAGACTGCAATCTCTGAATAATTTTTGAACTCGATTGGAGGTAATTTAAATTTGCTTTTACCTTTACACTTGATGACTTTGAATTTGACAGTGAATCTGTTGTTATAATATTTGTACTTAACTTTGAAGTACCTTGCACTGTATTTATCCTTTGCCTCCACCTCACTGATTAACTCTTCTTTGAATATACTTTTATGTACTGCACTCTCCACTTCACAAAAATCATTGTATTCTTTACTTGTAAGAGTTCCCAGGTTTCCACGGTACAGCTAACAAACTGTCCAAAACAATAGAAATTTTCGTAAATGCACTACGAACTACCGTTCTGCGTTTTCGCAGAAATAATACGTTATTTGTTTTCTGGGATCGAAATAATAAAAATTAAATTTTAAGTACAAAAAACTTACTTTTGTATTAAATTACACAAGTGTGGTTTTATTTTAATACAGTTTGCTTTGGTGGTAGGTACAAATTCGACTAACTGTATCTAATCAATTCTAATATTATTATTAATATGAAAAATGATACTACATTTCCAGACGAAAAAGTCGTAAAATTTAATTGCCTTACACTTACACCAGCACTCATCTAGATGTGCTAATTAAGGAATTTTAAGTAAACATATTAAGTAGTTACTTGACATTTATCCTACCATACACAAAACGTTTATTGATTTAAAAAGATTTTATTACTACCACTTCAGGCGACAATTCTGAATTATTTACCTGCCCAAAAGTATTTATTCCAAACTGATACAGAAATTTGCAATTGTTTGAGAAACAGGTAAATAATGATAAAAAAGGGATTATGGTAATTGAACTATTTATGTATAAAAACAGTATTTATAAGAAATATAAAATAGTCAGTTGAAAAACAGCGTCACCACAATAACATTTTTTTTCATATCGAATGTAAACAGGTGAACTGTTTGCCTCAGAAAATTTCATATTTTCATCTCATTTCTAATTATGACTCAAGTAAATATCAATAATCTTTTTCACTTACGGAAATAATGAATCCACAAAATTTAATCGATCATTAAATAATATTGTTTTGTCTATAACAATTGAATTTGTTAAAAATTTAATAAAACTGGAATTGTTTTTATGTTAATGTATTATTTAAAAACCAGTATAATGTAGCATTTTAAATTTGATTGATTCTTTGAAGTATATTTAAAGTCGCCTCGTATATGAAATCGTCTTAATAAAACGAAGATTGTTTTCTGTTTTTTAGTTCGTATCTTTCGAAAAGTGTTTTCAATCATTCTAACGTCGTAGAGTAATAAATCCATTTAATTGTTGTTTATTTTACTGCGGCGATTTCTTTTCATGTAAATGCGTTTCAAAGGATATCTACGTCGTTCGTTAGTTTTGCTATTTCAGCAGTTCGTTGATTTTCAAGTTAAGCGAACAAATTTTTAATTTCGTCACTCTCGGTGGAATCGCTGCCAAAGTCAGTCGGTTTCATTGTTTAGTCCGGATTTTCTTTTAATTCGTTATTGCATTTTTGTTATGGAAAAATGTGTAAATAGTAGCAGTGTGGAGTAAACCGAGACAAAGAAAACAGTCAAGTTTTGGAATTGAGATTCGGAATAGCTTGCGGGTGTAGTCTTCCAAGCCGGATTTTTTTCAATTTGAAAAGTGAATTTTTACTCAAAATGCGATCTGGCAGTTTTTTTTGTTGAGTTAACCACCGATTTGTTCGTGCAGTGTTTTATCTGAGAGATTTGTAAAACGGCGTTTCCAGCCGTTTAAGAAGTTCACATGATTTTGGGAGGAAATTGAGTGGGCGAGTTTTGAAGATTGCAGTTTTTTGTCATTCAGGATGATCCGAAGCCGATTCCAGTGGCCAACTTCCAAAGAATTGTCTATTTGTGTTCATAAGTCACTTCAGACTGAATTGCAGCTTAAGTGGGACACAGTTGTATATTTTGCAGTGTTTTGGTTCAATTCCGATTCCAAAATTTTCTTAAAGGAAATACATCAGTCAGTGATACCAGGTACTTTTAAAATTAAAAATTACTTTTCAAAGTAAAAATAAATAATTTTTCAATAATAAAAAAAATTTGCTTTGATGACAAACTAAAAAATTGTAAATAAATGAAATTATAAATTTTATGGATTAGCTAATTGTCCTATTAGTTTTCTTTTAAATAAAGTTGACTGCTATAATTAAAATTAATGTTTCAAAAAGGTTTAATATTTCGTTTCGATATATGACAGTTAGTATTATCCTTTCTCGACATTAATACATAACCATAAAGTTGAATTGTTTTGTAACTGTTTGTGGTATGACACATAAATAAAAGTTAAATTTTATTTTCTTAACTTTTTATTTATTTTTTTTAAGCTAACCCTTTTTGAGTTTATTTGAAAAAGATATGTTTTGATTTTATTTTCTAATTATTTCCCTAGTTACAACTAGTGGTTGTAATAGGCATAATTAGGCACCTCAAGTGGCGCCCTATAATCAAATTTCTTGAGGTGTTTTCTTGTTGATTTTTATTCTGTTTATCCCAAAAGCCCTTTATTTCTTTTTGTTGTAGTTGCCCCATTCTAACCCCCATTTTACTTATCCACGACCCCAGCTCTCCTGCGAAACCCTGAGTGTCCGTTCGCACAAGTAGCGATTATTTTGCTTGCCTTATCTCCACCCCCAATAGTTTCTTCCCCCAATTTTCTACCTTATATTAATGCCCCTGTGGTAGGCAAAATATTATCGTTACAATAATCCTACAGTAAACTTTACTGACCATAGCTTGACTTTCAACCACGACTATAATATAACGTCAGGTTGCCAAGGAAAAAGATGGTATACTTATATAGTTAAGACATTGTGACGTTATGAAAGTCGAATGAAACGGAGGCAAAATATTAACTGGGAGCGGGAGGGGCGCTTTGCTAAACAAAACCATGTGATTCGTATTACCATGGTTACTGCATAGACAATTGGCATACCCATAAAACTAGTTTTCAATGTTTTGCAGATTTTTCTTAAATTCGGCAAACGCGCATCTGTCGCCATTTAATATATCACTGCTACCTTCTACTAAATGACACGTGAACTTATTTTCTCATCAATTAAGTGATAGGCGAACTAATTTCTCACTATCAAAATACCAACTTATTACGGTAACATTAACAAAATCCCTAGTTAACAGCTTTTAATTGTAATTTTATCTTTAGGTACAGTTAATTTAAAAATTACAGCAGTTATGTTAATCATTTAACGTAGTTATTTTGTACCTACGTTCAAAAATTATTTCACAATACCAATTTTAGACACGTTACCACGTAAGTTATGACATGGATTCATTTAAGTACAGTTATGAAATATTTACTGCTTTCTTTGGAAATTTTACGTAGATAATCATAAGTTTTGTCATAAAGATTTGTTTTGAAATAGTGACGATAACTGTACCTAAAAAGTATATAAATTTTAACCATAATTTGTGGACATACCACCTTAATATATTTTGAATTATTCTGATCATTAAAACAACTATAATTTTACACTAGTAATATTAAAATTTTTCTCATTTTGTTATCTTAACAAAAATAAAATAATTAAAGACCGGTACTGATGGAGATCCCTTTTGGGCATCTCTATTTTATTTTATTATTCAATAAGGAGGTTCCCCCGTAATATCGTTCGTTGAGAGCGACTGCGCGGCGATCAGGCGGCTCCGGGGATTCCCAAGTTGATCTTCCGTGATTCCAGTGTAATAGTTTTGGCACTTAGTTTTGTTGTGCAAGATTTTAAAGAATTTCAATTTAGATTGCAAAATTATTACGCGAAATCTATAAAATCGATTTTGTTGAAATTTGGTGGACTGTGTTGTTATATTATAAATATTTTATAGGAAAATTGTGAAGGTCCTAAGTGCAATTTAAGTGGTTTCAGAATATTGAATACGAAAAGGCTTGTTCCACCCCTTCTTTTGTATCTATTGCTATTTTGCAGCAAGGGTATTTTTAAGGGCAACTTTTATTATAATTATATATTAAACATACAATTAAATCTAACCTTAAACTGCGCTAAAAGGAAATAAATTAGTTTTATCAATAACATCATATATTTATCAGTAACCAATTAAAAACTTACCCAAATACTCATCCATGGCATCTTTATCGACACTGCTGACACTATTGAGTCTTTCCCTGGTTAACGGAAAATCAGGGACATCACATTCATCATCACTATTTCTTTCCTTAATTCTAGCTATATCATGTATATTATGTTGAGATCTGTGTTCAGCCTCAGCCTCTGGCAATATCAGCGGCTGCGGGTTGTACGACGCAATATCACAAGGTTGCAGTCTGGGCCGGACCGATTTGTACTTTAATTGTTTTTTGCTGGGCGAGGGCATTTCCAGACACGGGACCAAATCTGATGATACTGGTTGAAGTTTCGGTAATTGAACTTTGTTGTTATTTGTGTGTATCACCAGCTGTGGGTCCTAAACAAATTTAATATTTTAAAACTTAAAATAGAAAGAAAGATGTGTCATTCATAAATACGCATGGAATAGTCTATATAGCAGAGTATTAAAGACCCGATGTATTTTTACAAAATCTGTATCTTTGGATCACAACTTTGACTGTCCGTTTATTTCTACTTCGTGTATATTTGTCCCATAAGAAGTTCTTAATGAAGAAAATATTAGATAATCATCCCAAGAATTGTTTATATACCTTCTGAGCGATGTTTTTAGAATTAATGGTTTTATGTTATTATTCATTAAACGAGCAAATTCGGAATTTTTTAATCTTTTTTAATTCTATGCCAATTACCTACAGTAAAATTTCAGTAATTTCATTAGTATCACTGCATATCACTTTCTCCCAGCAGATGCATACAAAACACATCTATACATATCGATATACACGCCTCTCCTAAAGTTAAAGGCAAAACTATCATAACAAGGCTATATGGGCTAGTTGCTTGTGCATCCAGATCTGCAGATCTAACAGTCCCTACTGGAAGCGTGTAAACGTGCCTTAACATTAAAGCAGATTTACATGTATCCAGTAACTGACGCCAGTCGCACTAGCACGACAGCGCTGGCATGGTAGTTGCATCATGTAAACACTTTTTTGCGCCTGTCCAGTGCTGTCTGCCAGCGCTGTCACGGATAAAGCGCTAGTCTATTTTTCATGACAATGATAACCCAGATTTAAAAAACAGGTTAAGTACTTAGTATTGCGGATATTTCTTACCTGTTCAGAACTGCCCATGGTATCGCCATCTACTGCCGGCTTTTGGAAACTGTTGAAGTCAGGTAGCTGATTGAAATCCAGTGATTTATCACAGATAATTTTCGCCTGAGTTGGGCTGGTGCTGCTACTGCTGCTGGTTGTGCTGCTGCATTCTCCACTTAGCAAGTTGACATTGCCGTTTGTAGTCGTCGGAGAAAAGTTGGTCGTTACGTTCTGGGCGGGAACGCTTTGCGAACGGGACTTTTTAACGCCTGGTTTTTGTTCTGATTTAGGTGACTAAACAAAATAATAGAAAATTTATTGAATAGAAACTCGATCACATGAGCCACATTTTAAAGTTATTTCTAAAAATCATACATCAAAGGATATATATAGACTATGCGAAGAAAAAAAAACCATACACAGTTTGGTATTCGGAACGCAGTGGGTACGAGAGAGGGTCTCTTTACCATACTCTAGTTTATGAAACAGTGGATGAAAAATTATTACTAAAATCATAAAAATATTAATGACTTTTAATTTTACGTACCTGTGTTCGTTTCTTACGTTCCCTTCCTTCGTGCCTCTCTTGAATTTTCCTTTGAAGCTGCAACTGCATCTCTCTGTGTTTTGTAACCTTTACAGTTCCGTCATCTGTGAATATAAAAAATGTGTTTTTCAGTCAGTCAAAAAAACTCTAAATAATTATAAGTACACATCTTGATTGTCTACATCTCTAAAATTCTTGAACCCTTTATAAATCAAACTTTGGATATAAAAATCAACTATACAACTATATAATAAAAATCAACAATCAAATCAATCAAACTGTGGATATAAAAAAAATTATAATTAAAGAAAATTCTAATTAATAGAGATATTACGTTAAATCTTAAAATCAGATTAATACGCTGCTACATATTCTCCACATTGCTGTATGGTATGGAGAGCTGGACCCTTACAGAGACATTAATGAAAAAATTAGAGGCCTTTGAGATGTGGATTTATCGACGAGTATTGCGGATAAGTTGGGTTGATCGAATAAGAAATGAAATAGTTTTACATCGAATGAAAAAGAGCACAGAAATAACAGAAACGATAAAAATTCGGAAGTTACAATATTTCGGTCATGTAATGAGACATCCAGAGAGGTATAATCTTCTACACCTCATAATACAGGGTAAGATCGACGGAAGGAGAGGCCCAGGCCGACGAAGAACATCCTGGCTATGAAATCTCCGAGAATGGTATCAAGAAACCACCTTTAATTTATTTAGAGCCGCCGTGAATAAGGTTATTATTGCCAATATGATCGCCAACGTTCGATAATCGGACAGGGCACTAAAAGAAGAAGAAAAGATATAAAAATAGAAAACCAGATTCATCTGTGCAGAAGATGGAAGCTTTTGTTGCTACATACTTCTGAATTTGTAGGTTCTCTGCAGAATCAGACAAGAAAATTCAAAAATTAAAGTATTTTGGACATATTATGAGAAATTGACGTACCACAAGAAAAAGATAGTCAACTACAGGCCTTACAATCTAATTTTTATATCTGTTTATCTTTGTTAATGTTTGGTGTAAATTTTTGATGAGCAGTCTCATAATATTTTTGATGATTTATGTCCAACGTTAATCTACAGATATTTGAAACTTGGAAACTTACCTTTAGATGATGACATTCCAGCAGCACTAATTTTAGATGCAGCTTCCGATCCTGTACCAACAAGATGGTTTAAAATTAAATGGTACGCCAAACACTGAATAGATGAAAATTGTTGGGTGAAGTGGCACTCGGACCATTCCTTTACAATCAACCAGGCAGCTGAAGCCAAACTTGATTGGCTGAATGAACCTTCGGCGAACTGAAACAATAATCGAAAGTCAGTCCAATTAAAGTAATAGTTATTTTCTTAACACTGAAGAAATATATCATAAAGTATAGAAATACATCAGTGGTTGTTATGACATGACAACCATTTACTTACCAATGGTTTATCAGCCAGGTCTGGTAATAATGGAGATTTTAATTTAGTACATCGTCTTAAACCGGAGTAACAATACCTTGAATTTCCTCTTGTACCTAATCTTCGAGCTCTGATTTTTGGATAAACTTGTTTCATTACTTTTCCAAAATCTGCTTGAGATAATGATTTGATAGTGTTGTTCGCGCAGTAATTACTAAAAAAAAATAAAGGTAGAAAATACATACTATATTGTCAAATACATATAAATTCTGCAATACTTTGGGGTTGATATTGGGATTATCAAAGAGTAAAAGATAGCTACCAACATTATGGTGAGACAGCACTAACAAAAGCTTCTAAATAGCTTTAGTAGATGGAATCAGTAACAGAGGAGAATTAATACATGTCGAATTGTTTTAAAGAAAATGAAAATAAATTTCAAATTTAAAAATGAAAATATCTTGTATGTGGGAAAAATTGCTGATAGACAAATGAAAGATATTTAATTATTTATTTATTTATCAACGGACCTAGCCCTTTTGGATACAATTACAAAAGTTTACAACCTCGATAGCAATACTAACTACAGTACATTCAACCAACTTATACCTCTAAACGATTAATGGAATTCGCAGAAAACCATTCGTTGTAGTAAAAAGTACGGCAAACTGCACTGGTGTTCTCCATAATGTTTAACACTTTGCTGAATATTATGTATAAAATAAATATAAATATGTGTCATCAACCCGTTGTTTATAGTTTTGCATATTTTGTTATTTTTTTTAAATAAATAGTATTCTTGCATAATGTTATTTAACGTAAATTTCTTTCACTTACTAGTTTAATAATTTTTTTTCTGAAACAAATACTACCGTGTTAAGGTCAATTTATATTCAAAGTAAATATACAAAGTACCAAAATATCACTTTTAATTTTTGTTAAAAAATACTTCGGAGTAAAGTAGAACATTTTATCAATTTAAATAGTGGTGGTTAGATTGACCATATGTATGTTAGAGTGTACCGTTTTTGAGACGTCTGCGATTATGGGTTTAACACGTTGCGTACGCCTGTACAAAAAAAATATATCCCCAGCCGGCGTTTTTTTTATGTATCTAGATTCATTTTTATCTAATTAACATGCCACAGTAATTTTTCTTAGACTACACTACACTAGAATCTACCTGCCTATTTATTTAAAGACGCCGGTTTGGCTAATTCTTAGTTAATCCTTTTCCGGGTTCTTTTTTATAAATTCGGTAATTGTCGTCGAACGACTGTTGTAATGTTTTTCGGGAAAAACCTAATCTAGAAGATTTATATTTTATCACGTCCAATTACTATTACCGTAAATACCTCAAACTTTCCGATGTCGTTAGAATCTTCCCTTCTCAGAAATAGATACAGGCTGGCCTACGATTTTTAAGAGGGAGATATCCCTTCTTCTTTTTTTGATTTAAGTTTGGTAAAATTTTAGAAGAACTTTTTTTACTTCTCGGTGGGCCGTTGTTGAGTAAAGGCTGATATCTTAGTAAAGGCTGATAGTAATATGGTATGGTATCATATCATCCTCCATTATCTGGACGTATCTAAAGTTCATCCATGTCTTCACCTGTCGATTGCTGATTTTTGCATTCAATTTAAAGAACATTTCAATAGATTCAAGAAATTTCAATAAGTAATAATTATGAACATTTAAGTCTTAGTTTCTCATTAAATAATAGTGCAAGATAGTTAATCCACTTAACCAAGTGCGGTTTGGTTAAATTCATATGTTTTCATTTCTGTAACCTTTTTGTATTTTTGTAAATTTAGAATTGATTAATATTTGTTATCTTTTGTGTTGGTTATAACTTTTATTAATTTTTTTGCTGTAATATCTCGAGATAAGCCAATACTTTATTTGTACATGATTGTATTATATATCTTTGTAAAGGTATTTTCTAATTATATTACTGCTTATTTTTATATGTATACCACCATTTTATAGTTGTTGGTGTACTTTTATTACTTGTGTTGCATTCAGCAGCGTCATAATTTTGTTGTTGAATATATTGTTATTGTTTTATGTATTTGTATGTATTTTATTTTTCGGCTCCTAACAAGTTCCCTGATAAAATAGTAACTCTGAATATTTGCTTTTTACCTTTAAATATTACTATACCTTTGACCAGTAGAAAGATCAGGCAGATTAAGTTTCGTAGGTAAGTAATATATTTATTCTTTGTTTATATAGTGTGTTGACCAAATTTATTTGATAATTAACTGTTGGTATCTTTCCTTGGGTTTGATCTCTGAACCTAAATATCTTTCCTTATCTCTTTTCTTTTCTAAGGTTTCTTAATTTTCTCCTTAACCCCAAAAAATTGAGTGGCGCCCTGTTTCTATCTTATCGTATCTTTGGTAATTTTACCCATATATCTTTTTGTTTATTTCTGTATCTTTTCTAATATCTCAATATCTCTTATCCTATCTTTACTTATTTCATACGTTGGACCCATTCTCGGTTCCAAAAGCTAGTTTCGAACCCACGACTCGCTCTCCACCAACCATCTGGCTGCCGTCCGCAGTGTCTCCATTGGTGACCTTTCTAGCACCATCCAAAAAAGGTTTCCGAGGTTACAAGATCTTACTGTGACTGAGTATCACGAAGACAAGAAAAAAACTCGTAAACATTCTAGGAGCATTGACTTACCTGATTGGGAAAAATTTTAAATTCGCAAAATTTTGTATCGAATGCATGAAAACAATCAACATGTCAGTTTAGATAATTTACTAGTCAAAATAAGAGAAAGAAAAGTTTCTAAAATTAAGAGGTCTGGGCTTTGGAAAGTGTTTTAAATTTAGGATTTAAAATCAAAAAAGAAAATAATAGGTTACTTTTATGCGAAAGGAGTAGTGTGGTTCACAATACAATTAATTTTTTGAGAGAATATACTAGACTAAAATCTAAAAATGCAACATTCGTATATTTAGATGAGACCTTGATATTTGCAAAGGGTGAAATTAAAAGAATTTAGCAAGACGACAGCATAAAATCAATAAAACACACAGAAGATAGCGAAGGCAAAAGACACATCATTCTTCATGCATGAGGGAAAGAAGGCATTATAGAAAACGCAGATTTAATTTTTTCTTCAAAATCAAAATCTGCTGATTACCATGAAAACATGAATGCAGATTCTTCTTCTTCTTAGGGTGGCTCTCCGTTCCGAACGTTGGCGATCATTCTGGCTATGATGATTTTGTTGGTTGCTGTATGAAATAGCTGTGTTGAGATCTTTCTATACCATGCTCTCAGGTTAGCAAGCCAGTATATTTTTCTTCGTCCTGGGGCTCTTTTCCTTCAATTTTACCCTGCAAAATGCATTGGAGTAGCTCGTATCTGCCTTGATTTCTCATAATATGTCCCAAGTACTCCAGCTTACGGCTCTTCACAATGTTGACCAAATCCGCGGTTGTGTTCATCCTCCGCAGTACTTCTTCATTGGTGACTTTGTCTGTCCATGGTATCTTCAGGATTCTTCTGTATAACCATAATTCAAACGCCTGAAGTTTTGATAGAGTTTCCGCCTTCAATTTCCACGTTTCTACTCCATACAGAAGCACTGAGTATACGTAACATTTAAGGAGCCTTATTTTTGTTTTCAGGGTGAGGTCATGGCTTTTGAACACATAGCTCATAGCCAAGAATGCACTTTTGGCCTTTCTTATGCGACATTTAATCTCTTGGGTATTGTCCCACGGCTCATTGATTATAGTTCCCAAGTAATTGTATTGTGAGACACGTTCAATTCTCATTTGGTTCACATACAGATTTGCTCCAGTTATGTTTTGCTTGCTGATGATCATTAGATGAATGCAGATATGTTTGTTAAATGGCTTTAGGAGAAACTGTTACCTAGTCTGAGTGAACCACCAGTTATAGTTTTAGATAATGCACCTTACCATTCAGAGATTTTGAAGAAACAACCTAAACAGTTGTGGAACATACCAAGCATAAAAAATTGGTTAGTTAAAAATAATATCAATTTTCCGGAATATGCCTTCAAATCATAGTTACTGAAAATTTCGAAGCGTAATGAAATACCAACAGTTTATATAGTTGACCAAATTGTATCAAGTTATGGACATCAAGTACTACAGTTACCGATGTATCACTTAATCATCCCATCGAACACATCTGGGGTATATATAAAACATATTATGATAATCACGTTGGATCCAGTGGATTCAGTGACGATGCAGTTAGGGAAATGTAGCAAGAAGCTCTTAAAACTGCCACTCAAGAAATGTGGGTCAAAACTGTAAATAAATGTGAAAAATTAATAGAAGAGTGGTGGATCCAGGAAAATAAAATTAGTGAAATTAATACAGTGATTATAGATTTACATAATTATAGCGGTAGTGAATTTAGTGACGATTATGATGATTTATAAATTTAAATAATCTGTAAGTACACTATTATAATGTTATTTACAAAATAATTATACAGCAGGTTAACCATTATATGTATACATTCAGCATTAGTCAAATAAACAATAATATTTAAAATTCCATTTGAATTTTTGCTCCCCATTTTATACAAATTAACTCTAACTGATAATACAGGCAAAAATATTCTTAACAAAGTAAGTAATTAAAAAGATTATGCATACTCCAGTGCAGTTTACCTTGCCTTTTACTACAATGAAAGGTTTGCTGTGAATTCCATTAATCATTTAGAGGTGTAAGTTGGTTGAATGTATTGTATACAATAATTTATACATAAAGAAAGTAATTCAATTGTTCATTTGTTTAGCACAAAAATGCTGCCACTGGTTACAAATAGTTGAAAACCTAAGCCATAGATACAAAATAAATCTAAAATCTAAAATTTATCCAAAAACAACTCACAACACTAAGAAGTCAGGCTACATGTAGTTTCAACATACTTATAAACTTGCTGAAGGTTATGTTAAAAAATTCAAGATTATCTGCTTGAAGATAATATAGTAGAAGTCTTAAGAACAAATGATAGAATAATGATGTTAAAAGGACAATGGAAAAAGTACATTGACAGTTTATTATTTAATAATTTGAAAGAAAAATAGTTGAGCTAACTTAGACAGTAACCGCAATGGTCACCAAAATAAGAAATAAGGAAATTATTCAAGCACTTCAAAATATAAAGGTAAAGCAGTTTGGCCAGAAGGTTTTTCTCTGGAAATGGGACAGGGTTATTTAATAGAATTATGGAAATAAAACGACAAGAGGCGGGAGTGTATTAAATGCTGAGTATGTAGTGCTAGTAAAATACTGAAATGCACTCGATGGTCCCTGATATTTTAAAGAAAAGGACAAAGGATGTCATAGTATTAGATTTGCTTCTATTTGATTCATTTAGAATGAGCTAGTCACATGCTAAAAGGTTGTAGTATGTATAACACAGTGGCAAATAGATGAGGTATAAATATCTTATACATATATACTTTACACATTATTTTTGACTTTTGTTACACTAACAGCAAATTATTTTATATGATGGGCATTAAAGGGAACAATCTAGTGCCTTTTGAAGAAAAAGGGCCAAAAATGCAGTATTAGATTTACTTATATATGATTCATTTAGAAGTAATCATTCCAATGACACGGTTTTGATGTTAATGTCATAGACGCATAGTTTACATTATTTTAAGAATCTGTTAATTAATTCTGAATCAGAATTAATTTTAGGCAAGGATAGAAATGTTTGAAAATCTGAAAAAAATTGAAAATATATAAACTATATTGAGTGAAAAGGAATGATACTGTTGAAAAATAGATAAAAAGTATCAAAAATCATCTATAAAAAAATATCTAAAGAATATTATTTATATATATATATATATATATATATATATATATATATATATATATATATATATATATACCCTGTATTTAGACGGCACAAAACCTTCCGGTAGGGATCTATGGACGAGTATCACTGAGCCGCAAGCCCTTATCTCTTGCCATACTACTCTACCATAGGCTGATGAGATACCCGCATATTCTAGACTAAGCCACAGATTCATTTATAATTTTAAACTGCTGCGTTTGCCTTTTTGTTTTCTGTACACCGAGCTGGGGATGAAACTGACATCTCTCGCAGTGAAGCGAATGAGAAGCCAGCCACCCAGCCTGCTTGGCTATCTGATCGACAAAAAGAATACTATTTAATTAACATAATATATTATTTAAATGAATCAACTTACTGATATTCATTGTACACTTCTTGTTTTGGCAGAGATATATCCGGATCTTCTTGTAAGTGTGTCTTGATCCAAGATATGGTTCTGGTAATTTCTGATCTACTACCAAGAGGATTTATGGTCTGTTTGAAGGGATCTACAGCATTTGTTACTTCCGATGGTAATTTTAGAAACAGAAGAAATTTTTCCACCTGTGACAGTTGCTTTATTTGTTCTAATATTGAATTAATAATATTTTTCGCTTTTTCGCTAAAATAACATAAAAATTTTTAAATCTATATATGGAGATTAGATAAATTATAAACGTCACATATTTGGTCAAATATTTTAGCAATTTAAACATGTAACAGGATCTTTAATGTGCTTTTCACTGATTTTTGATGGATATACCTTGATACGAATATTATTTTCAAATATTTGTATCTGATGACATAATTGAATTGATGGTAAGAGAAACTAACAAAAATTGCTCAAACTTTTTTACAAAACAATACTGTAAGAAGAAGTAGTAGGTATGAACAATGAAAGTATAAAAATGTCCAAGATAAAAATATTCTTGGGTCTTAGAATATGGGATGGAGCTGGTACTGGTACACCAGTCATCAATCCAATCATATTGGTTGAATAATAGAATCTATACAAATTAAATGTGTTCTTTTTTTACTCAATTTCATCATCAGGAATCAGCCAAGTGGTGCACCATAAAAAAACAAATAAATAGATTTCTAGTTAAAAAAAAAAAAAAAAAAAAAAAAAAAAAAAAAAAAAAAAAAAAAAAAAAAAAATATATAATATAAAAATCAATAAATTCTTTAAAATTCCAGTAAATTTAGTAAAAACATTGTTAAGTTATTCCCTAAATAACAGCTTATAAAAAAAGGTGATATAATATTTTATTATTGTATTATAATTTTTCAAACTAGCTCTGCCTGGAAAATTCAAAAATGAGGTAAGCTATTGATTATCATTTAATGAAGTACTAAAGCATTCAATGAATTTTATTATTTCATAACTGACTATAACTCAAAAATTATGGATTTTTGGTAAAATTTTGACAATCAGAGAACAACTTCCGAAGTGGAAATTGAAACATCAAAATTAATTGTATTTTTAACTGAAATTATGATTAATTCTCATTAAAGATAGTAAATCAGATTAAAAAGCTACAAAAAATTGCTTCTGAGCAATGCCAAACAATATTTTTTATTGTATAACCTTTTTATTTTTTTATAAAGCAATGCCTTACCCAAATATATAAAAAGTTATAAAAATAAATTTAAAAAAAATTTAATTTTTTTTATTTGTTTAACATTGATATTTGGATTTATTTTGTTAAAAAAAAATTGAATTTAACAAATCATTGAGATAATTTTGATTGGAAATTTAATTCTCTACAAAAACTATGGTACATACTCCCTCTATAATGAACAAAGTTATTACTTAAGTGGTTTGCACTTATAACAGGGTACATTAGATGTCGCGTGAAACTTCTATTGAACTATAACCCTCTATAGTGAGGTAAATTTGGTTATAACGAGAGAATAAGATCAGAAAACGTGTTTTTTACGTTTTTGGCCCGGCCGTGGCTATAAATAAATACCCTTTTTAACTACTGCTGGCAATAATCTTCTTTGTAAATTAACAATTTATGATTCACAAGTGTCATTGTAGGGGGTTGACCATTCGCACCTAATAATAAGAAGGTACTAATAGACAAGATGTGGAAAGTGGTGTAAATGTTGTAACAAACTTTATCCAAAGACAAAACGCATATGAAGAAGCATACAATTGTTTCACATCTTAAGAAAATATGATACGATAGAATACTGGTCAATTTAAAGCAGCCAAAAATGGCAGACTTCTTCCAATTGCGGAAGCAATAGTTTGTCATCCTTGAAAATATGCTATATACAGATTTACAGAATACAGATTTTTTGTTTTAATGTATATCATTGACAATAAAAGTAAACAAGTCTTTTTTTGTTTTAATGTATTTTATTACTATGTTCACTATAGGAAGTTAATGTTTTAGAAATCTACATATTCATATGTATGCACAATATTATTGTTTGATATAACAAGATCAGCTTATAACGAAGTAATTAGTCTGCCATTACAGTTCTTATTATAGAGGGAGTTTACTGCATAAAATATTTACTAGAAATTCATGTCAGCCAAAAAATAAACAATAAGTGGACAAAAACAAATACAACCAATTTAAAGTCTAGTTTAAAAATAATTCCTAATACAAGAGGTTTTTAAAAATTTGAAAAATGTATAAAAATCATAAATATTTTAATGGTAGAAATAAAAGTGATAAAGAAAACAGAAGTATTTTATAGCTTCTTCCCAGGGTTACCTAATTAACTAATTAAAAAATTTTTAAAGGATTTTGAATACTCATTTTCTCTTCCATGTGTAAAAGAAATCAGTGATAATATAAAAAGAACTGGATTGTAATATTAATATGCAAAAATAGAAAAGACATCTCATTTTCCTACCTATACTATTATTTGGGAGATAATTTTAAATTTTCAGACCAAATTTTCAGAAAAATGTAAAATGCTTTACAAATTTATGAGATAAGTAGTTTGATTAATAAATGTTCAAGAATGAATTTTGAATTTTATGAAAAATGTAAAAATATTTTTTTTAATTGAACAAGCAACTTGTAATGGAAAAAGATTGAAAAACATAGGTAATATCTACAATGATTTTTTCTAAAATTCATTCTGAATTTCACACAACTTTTCACATGGAGCATCTTCAAATTGAAGTTATATACCATCTACCTGAGATATTTCTAAATAAAATAGTTCTGATTTACTACAGCAACTTAAATTTATTTTTGTATAGATTCTGACTGGACTAAATACACCACTGCTGTTACAACAGCTTAAACTTTGAAAATAATCATAAATATATACCCTGCATCAACAGATACAATGGAAACTTTACATTTTAATATTAAAAAATAATTAACTAACAAAATTATACAGTATATAAAATTAATACACAAAAGATATAAAAATAATATATCATGTTATAATATAGCCATAACAGAAAACAAACTTGGTAGCCAATAAAATAATTAATGAAGTTGAGACTGTAGCCAGTGGTAAAGTAGACTTAAAAAAGATAATAAAAATTAAGTTTTCCTGGAAAGATATATCTAGAAAAACATGATCTGATGAGAGAAGTAAAAAATAGGATCTAAAGAAGGAGGAAAGAGAAAATTGCACAGGCAAAAATGTAAAATGATTGTCTAAACTTGTAATTACACTTTAAACAATATTATATTAAACAATTGCTATATAAGAGGAAACGTAATATTTGTTTATTGTAGCAGATGGTATAGGCACTATAAATAAGTCAATCAATTATCACTAACCTAATGGTGATGTTAATGAGATCATTATCTTTGTGAAATTCCTTTTCATTTGAATCCTTTACTTCCTGTTCGTTAATTGTGTTAGAACATTCACTTTCTTCAACATTTTCTCCCGTACCCGTAGCCGTACCATTGTTTAAATCATTCTCGAGCTTTTCAGTATCTGACGGTATAGATTGATATTTGTCAGTCCTTATATCATTTTCCATTGCTACCGAATTGAATTCGGTATTGTTTAAAACCTTTGAGGCAAAACTACACAATATTTTATCGAATTTACAGCTAAAACAGCTTGTTTGCACCGGAACATTTTATTGTCAACTCAAATCAGCTGGTTTTCAATGGACGACAGTCTAGAAGGAAAGCAATGAATTAACCAGGGATGCGGTGTTGCCACGCTTAAATGATATAAAATGTTTATAGAAGATCGAAAAGGGTTAAATTAACATAAGAAAGATTAAAATAAGCTAAGAGAGGAAGTTCAATTAAGGTAATTAGAAAATGATGTAATGTACTTTGACACATCTTAATTTATTAATAATAGCCACATTTTTAAAGTAAACATTGTTTTTTAATTTTTAAACTGGAAGCTGGCAGCATACAATAGTTGCAATATTGTTAGATTTGTGTAAATACATAATATTTATTTTCACATTTATTAAAATATAGGAGAAACTATTTTCGCGATATTGTAAATAATTCGCTAGATCCCCTATAAATCTGCCGTAGCGACAACAGGGTGTGACGATATCAGTGGAATTAACAAAACTCGTACATCGGACACGGGACGATTCCATATATTTCGATTATCACGAATGAGTTCAATTAATTATCGGTTTATGTAATTGTAAATTTTTATTAAATATAATGATTGACATTATTAATTAATATGTTCAGAGCACAGTTTTGGTTACATTACGTTTCTTAGTTTGTTTTTTTATTATTAAATTTTATAGGTGTTCTGTGGGTTAGACAAACTTAGTGACAGAACACTAAATACTAATTCATTTTTTATTTTCTATTCATTTTATTTTTTGTGGGTACTAAGACTTTGGCACAGATTAAATTGATTCCTCTTTTTACTACAACGAAATACCGCTGCAATATTTATTGAGTTAAATAAAGACCATGGCTGTATGCATGCAGTTAAATGAAGTTGTTGGGAGTACAGTGATCGTGATGAGTGGGCAATGCAATTGTAGGCCCGTCATTAATTTTTATAATACAATCATAGATGAGAGGAATACAAGACTTTACTCCCTAGTGTACAACATCAATTTAGATAAAAAAGACATCGAGTTTATTAAGGGTATATACTGGAAATAGAAAGCAGTAGTAAAGGCGAACGGTCTAGAAACAAATAATTTACCGATTCATAGAGGGGTCAGGCAAGGATGCGTCTTGTCCTAGACGCTTTTCAACGTGTACTCACAGGTCATATTCAGAAAAGCCTTATGGGAAAAATAATTGGTGGAGAAATCGTAAACACCATGAGATCTGCAGATGACACGGTAACTATGGCTGAGAGTATAGAAAAACTACAAACTTTACTAGATGCAATACATAGTGAATGCATTCCAATGGAACTTGACATTAACACAGATAAGACCAAATTTATGATAGTTTCAAGGAGTCCAATAAATAATGAACGACACCCTTTGTACACAGCAAATAGAGAGAGTGACAAAATATAAATATCTGGGAGCTTACATCAACACAGAATTAGATCCCCACAAAACGGCAACAAATGGCTTCACAATGGAAGCGGGAAAGAAGGAAAGCAACCCGGATTTGGCAGAATAACGCAGGAAATAATAAAAACCATTATCGAGGAAAAGACTGAAAAATTACTACATTTTTAACATTAAACATGCAAAAGAAATAGAAGAACCGGGTGCTTTTAGGCCCATATGCTTGATAAATACACTAAGCAAGCTATTCGAAATCCCCATAAAGTCAAAGCTCAAAAAATAAGTAGAAGGAAGGCCTGTCGGACTGCCACTATGGTTTCAAGAAGTAAAGATCTGCCCTAGACTCAAATAGGATAGTAAGGAAAAAAGAAGAATACAGAGTAAGTGGATGATTATGAGCTGGGGAAAAAACATAAGGTTATTAAAAGAAATGGAAATATCCCCACACCTGAGATTGTGGCGAGGGATTATTTTACAGACAGAAGCATTACTCTAAAAACGACACAATGAACACATATGTGGGGATGCCACATTGCTCTCTCTGGATTGTACTTTATAACGACATACTGGTGATAAACCTAAGACGGAATATTGGCAATTATGTAGTCAAACTAATAGAGCACTTCGAGATTGGGCTCATAATGAATAAGGCAAATACAGCTCTTGAACTGGTTAGGATGTGGCTAGAGGAGAGAGAACTAACGAGATTAAGTACACAGAAGACAGAGTCCATAATCCTCAATGGCTCAATAGCCAAAGAGCATTTTCTTTATCTTGGAAGAAAAAAGTAACCTAGCTGTCCTATCTGAGCTTTATTGAACATATGTAATATAGATGCTCTACAAGATATTTTTTAGAATAAGATTAGTTCTAGAAGACAATTAACCCTTGCTCTAGAAGATATTTTTAAGAAATTGGAATGGAACAATAAGGGTATCAACGTCGACGGATCATACTTAAACCACTTGAGATTCGCAGATGACATAGTTTTAATAACCGATAATATCCAAGAACTAAATGATATGTTACAAAAATTAAATGCAGTTTCAGGAGCGGTAGGCTTAAAAATGAACTTCAGCAAAACGAAAATACTGAGCCAAGACCAGACAAATATAACAATACAATATCACATATAATATCATCTATAAACTTAAAGAAAAAGGTGTATAACACATTCATACTATCAGTTTGTACCTACGGCTTGGAGACACTAACCCTTACCAAAAAATCTGCTAAAAAATTAGAAACAACGCAAAGAGCAATGGAACGAATCATGCTTGTAATATCACTAAGAGACAAGATTAGAAACACCGAGATAAGACGTAGAACGAAAATTAGGGATATATTGTGGTACAAAAATGAAATGGCGCTGGGCAGGTCACGTAGCCCGATATAATGACAACGGGTGAGCACGGAGAATTCTAGAATGTAGACCAAGGACTACAACAAAAAGCATGGGAAGACCTTCAAAAAGATGGGTAGATCACATAAGAGCAGTGGCAGGCAAACAGTGGATTAGATTGGCGCAAGATAGAGAAAGATGTAAGCAATTGGGAGAGACCTACATTCAAGAGTGGATGGAAAATGGTTGACAAAGAAGAAGAGTAATATATGACGCGAATAAAGCCGATCAAGGAGCAGCCTAACAAAGATAATGCCAAAAATAGGAGGTTCAGGGATAGGTAAAAGAAGAATTTTTATGGAGATGGTTCACTCCACCATACTGTACGCAGCATCAATATGACAGGAAGTAATACGTAAAAAAATGGGGGAGAATTCTAGAGAAAGCTCAGAAATGGCTCTGTTGAGCGTCATTTGTGTATATAGGACGACCTCGACAGTTTCCTTACAAGTGATAGCAGGGGTATCACATATTCATTTTCTAGAGCAGGAAAGAGCAATCATCTATGGCATGAGTGACAACGACAAAGCAGACGAGAAAGGGGTGACCAACGCGAAATTACAAGAGTAGAAAAACCAACATAGAGCTGAATAGATAAAAACACTCGTACCGGATATGAGAGAGTGTGTAGAATATGACCATAAGGAAAGAAGTATTTCTTTACAGTTCCTCTCTGGCACGTCTCCTTCAGAGCCTAAGAAGACGGCAACTGCGGGGTTAACGATATGGCGGAACACTGTGTTCGACTGCATAAGGTTTAAGAACGATAGGGCAGAGTGATACGAAAGGCTAGGCGAATAATATAATGGAAGTGAAGGGATAACAAGAAATTGAAGACAAAGAAATTCTTGGGACAACAACGATGCAGATCCAGAATAAAGGTTCAACCTAGTAAGCGTTTGACGTAAGCGAGTAACGCACTAGTTGGGCAGTCTCTCTTGTGCATTTAGACGTAAGCGATAAAACGGCTGATATTAAAATGAACAGGGATAATTTTAGTAGTGTACAGGAATAGTGAACAGCACCATGTCCTTTCAGAACGTTGGTCACCATCATAGCTATCTTAATTTTAGTCACTGCCACACTAAATAGCATGCTTTTATCAATACCATACCAATCTCGCAAGTTGTTGAGCCATGAAGTCTTTCTTCGTCCTGGACTGCGTTTGCCTGATTACTTCCATTGCATAATATTTTGTAAGAACGTATATTTGGGACCTCTCATTACATGTCCGAAGTACACAAACTTTCTCTTCTTGATGCTTTTTATAATTTTAGTAGTGTTGTTGAGACGTTCTAGTATTGTGGAGTTTCTTCTCCATCCTAGAAACTTTTACAATTCTTCTATAGCACCACATTTCGAAGCCTCAAGGCGATTTAGGCCACTTTTACTTACAGTCCAACCACTCTACACCATAAAGAACTGAACAAACAAGAACAACATTTATGAATATGAGAACTCTGCATGGCAAAAAGAGTCTTAATTTAACGGTACGCTACAGTTTTGTGAAATGCTACGCTTATTCAGTGCTGCTATATGCGATGGAGACCTAAACAATAAAAGGGAACGTCACAAATCGCCTTGAGGCCTTCGAAATGTGGATGTTTAGAATCTTTAAAATTCTCTAGACGGATCATGTAATTAATGGCAAAGTAGAAAAAAAGAAAACTGCTGCAAATAGTGAAGGGAAGGAAATCAGCCTACCGGGTCACATATTTAGGAATTCCAAAATCCCAAATTTTAAAATTGATTATAGAGAAGATGGAAGAAAAAAGCAGCGAGAGAAAAAAATACTCATGGCTAACGAATGTAAGGAAAGACAAACTTCAACGCTTACGCACTTTTCAGAGCTGCACAAGATCTAAACGAAACGAGTATGCCAAAACATTCAGTAAATGGAATAAGGAACCGTAAGCAAAATTGAATCGCCCCTTCTACAGGTATTATTGGTTAACAGTATGTACGAGTACACAGTTTTATCACAGTATTATTGTGGTTGGTTAAACTTACAGACGCCTACGAAGATGGTTCGATTTCTAATCTTTAAATACTTAAAATTACATACATTTTAAGGCATATAATGAAATATGTTTAATGTTAAAATGTTTTATTGTTTTTATAAGACACATTTGAATTGATATTGTTCTGAAGCTATTTTCTTGAGGCACCCTAATGCAATTTACTATTTTAATTGAAAATAAGCCACAATTTTAGTTTAAAATAAGTTTATTTGACAATCATTGACATGATTTGT